ACGTTTCAGCCGCCTGAGGTCTCCTGGTGGCCTAGTGATTTAGCATTGGACTGCTAACCTCAAGGTCAGCAGTTCAAAACCACTAGATGGTCCTCGGGAGAAAGACGGCTTTCCACTCCCGGAAACCCACAAGGACAGTTCTACTCTGTCCTGTAAGGTCATTATAAGCCAGCATGGACTCCATCAATGGCAGTGAGCTTGATTCTGTTGGTTCTACCAGGGGTTCAGAGCCAGGCCTTAAAATCAATGGACAGAGGTGAGTCCTGACCAGCTCCTCAACAGCAGGGCAGGCTGGCCAGCAACTCCGTCTTCCAAGCCCAGATCCGCACACCACCACCCCCAAACTGAGCTGCTTTGGGGGAACAGACCACCAAGCCTTTCTCCCCAAACACTTCTCACCGATACAAATGTCTGCCTCTTGGTATCAGTTTAGCACGTTAACCACGTATCCCCATCCCCAGTTCTTCCTGGAGAGGCCTGTGGGGTCAACACTGGGAGAGGCAGGTGCAGAGTATGGCCAGGGGTCCTCAAGAGCAGGTCAGAACCCCAGAGGGCCACCAGGCAGTGTGGCCTGAGCTGTACCCTGTGCTTCTGAGCAAGGCTACACGGTACCTTTTTCCTCTGCTGGCACCAGCGGGGCCTGCCTGTGAACCTGCTGAGCCCCATGGAGACAAACCCCAGGGGCTGGGGGCTGGGGGGTGGCCTGGACTCAGTCCTAACCAGCTCCACATCAGCCCAGGGCACAGGGGTGCCCACCCCAGGGTGGCTATAGGATGAGTGACGTCAGGCTGGCACTGGTACCCAGGACAGGAGGTGTTGCCCAGCCGTCACCATGACAGCTGTGGAGGGAGCCCCCGTGTGGACCACAGACTATAGACTGCAGAGACAGCAGATGGCCACTATTCCTCCCCCAGGGTGGGAGAGCGGGGACACAGCTGTCTGTGAAGGGCTCTCAGGGAGAGTTAGCCCCACCCCCACAGCCTGGGGCCATCCAGAGCCACAGAGAAGCCCCTGGACGCAGTAGGCAGTGGACATCCATTTAAGCAACACTGGTAGAGGGTGAGTGGGGAACCCAGAGAGGTTGGATCAGAGACCGAGGTCACAGTCTCCTGTCTCGGGGGACCGTCTGAGATAGGCACCCTACATCCGTCCTTGAAGCCCTCCAACTGACTGGTGGGCCATGGGAGGGAGGAGTTTCTGTCCCCAACGTTCCCAGCGAAAGCCTTGCCTCAAACCAGAACCACAGCAGGCCGGACGTCCACTGTCTCTAAGGACAGCTGCAGCCAGGCCCTGCCTGTCAGGATCCCACACCCCCCTGGCCACCCGGAGAGACTGAGGGGCTGGCCTCCCTGCTGGACATTGGGGGGGAGGGGGCGGGCAGCACTCAGGATGCTGGCCTGGAGGAAGCCCCAGGGGAACAGAATGTCCCAGCGTCCCTCATGTTCCAGAACATCCTGTCACACACACACACACACACCGACCAGGACACCCCATCCTTACTCGTGAGAGCCCCATCTGGCACTGGGATGGGAGACAGGGGAGGTGGGAGGGGTCTGGGGACTCCCCCACTGTGAGGGGCCACGGCCAGAGGCGTGAGTAGAGACAGAACATCTTGGTGTGAGGGACTCACAGCGGCCCTCTAGGACAGTGTGGAACAGCCCCGTGGGTCCCGAGATGGTAACCCTTTAGAGGAGCAGCCTCCTCCTGCTCCCCGGGCAGCTGGCACAGTTAGCAGCACAGGCTGCACTCTGAGACACACGCCACTTCATGAGTTTGGTTTGGTGTGTTTGGGGTGCAGGTGTTGGGGGGGCGGGGGCGGTGTGCCTGTGTGTGGGAGTGCATGAACAAGTCCGTGATGCAGAGCGTCTGTGGCGGGACGCACGAGAGCGCGTGGGTATGAGTGCCTGCGTGAGACGGTGAGCGTGGCTCTGAGCCTGGAGAATGCGCGCATGCGCAGGGAGTGAGGAGTGTAAGCGAGCCTATGGGAGACGTTCTGTGCATGCGAGCCCCTGTGAATTCTCTGGGGGTGGGCATGAGTGTGTTGCTTTTTACTTAAAAATAACACCTACCTGATGTTAGTTCTCTTGCTCCCCACGCCTGGGGTGCTCATCCCTGGCCCCTTTCCCCCCTCCTTCCCCATTGGACTCCTGCCCCCACCCACCACGAGGCCCCCACTGCCCATGCTTTGATGAGGAGAGCACATGGTGGGGGATGAGCGGCAGGGGGTGCGGGCGGTGGGGGAG